ATGCAAAGCAATGTGTATAGTGTGCTACCACATGTGTTAAAAAAACTGAATATATATACTTGTATGTGCTTGCATCTGCATGGACTGTCAGTGCATATAATCAATACAAGAAATAAGAAATTATATCTGGGACAGGAACTGAGTAGCTGGGGAACAGGCATGAGAAGGGCAATTGTTTTTCACTGTATTCCCATTTATAACTTTTTAATTTTGTTCTATTGAAGAAATTTCAAGGGGGCAGGGAATAGCTCAAGTGGTAGGTCGCATGCTTAGCATACACAAGGTCCTGGGTTTAATCCCTACTACCTCTTCCAAAAATTAATAAACCTGATTACCTCCCCCCACCAAAAAAAAAAAAAGAAAAAAAAAGAAAATAGTTTTTTAAAAAGAGAAATGAAAAAAAAAAAGAAATTTTGATTAAGGCAAAGGCCAAAAAAAATGCAGATTCTTCAACCTTACCCAGGACCTGCAGAATCAGATTCTCTGGGGCTGTGATTCTAATAAGCACTGCATGTGATTCTTGCGCACAAAGGAGTTTGAGAACTCCTCTACAGAGAGCACCATTAGTAATGCAGCTTATCAAAATAATAATAGCAACAGTGATGTCAGCAGTTATGAACACTTACTTTAAAAGATAAAACCTGAGACATCCCTGCCAAATCTTGCACAAGTTTCCCTGAAAAAAAATTCTTTGGCACAACCACGCATAGAGTTTACATCACAATGAAGTATTCCTTCTTCTCTCTGGTGTTCAGCTTTAACCACTGTTAATCATTTCGCTAGCATTTTATACTTTGCTAAAAGCTTTACCCTAAGCTTTTGAGCTAGGTAAGGGCATAGCAAGGGAAGTGAATTGCTCTGGGACAACACAGTGCCTCCAGACTCACCACCTTCCAGCAGACAGCTGTGCACCCACTGCCTTCGGTGCTGAAAAGAAACCGATGACTGGAAGAAACGCATACATTTACTAGGATTCTTCAGTCTAGGCATGCTTGTGTTGCAAATCGCAACTGTGTCTTTCTGAGATGCGAGGGGAGAGGAAAAGGGTATAGCCTCAAGTCTCAGACAGCCCTGGCTCCCTTCTGTGTTCTTCCATTTCTTCCCCTTTAAATTAAGATGAAAAAACGCTATGGTGGAGTGACTAAGAGCCTGTGCTCTGGAGCCAGACTGCCGGGTTCAAATCCCGGTTCTGCTGCTGTGCGACCTTGGGCAAGTTACTTAACTTCTCTCTGCCTCCACAGACACGTCTGTGAAGTGGGGATAGCACCACCTCACTCACCTGGTGTGAGGATTAGATGTATGTGCAGCACTCTGCATGGAATCTGGCACACAGTAAGTGCTAGATAAATACTTGCTGTGATTCTTTCAGACCAGTCTTGGAGTATTAAAGGGAAAGAATTCACAAAAATAAGGGTAAACGCAGGGAAGGGGCAGAGAGACAGGGAGGAAAATCCTGGAATGGCTAAAGAGAAGACACTGAAGGCAGACGACAATGAAAAGTTGGTTGTTTCCAAGAAATAAAAAACCAACCACAAGATATTGAAGCAACGGGCCAAGCAAAGCAAAGCTGTTTTTTCCTTGTTCTGCGGACAGCTCGGCCGCCAGACATTTCCACTTTCCGGTCTGGGTCTGTATCGCTGTATAAGTTTTATATCAGGGGCCCCAAACCAAGCAGGTTTGGTGTTAGGAGGCGGCAGCGCCTCTTACCAAGTCCCCGTGTTCACGAGTATGAGCAGGACTCTCACCCCTACTGTCCCCTAAAGCAGCAGGAGGATGCGGCCTCCATAGAAAAACCTGAGGCGGTGAGGGACCCAGAAGGTTGCTCCAAGGAAATTCCAGTCCCATCGGCTGCCCTGGTCCTGGACTCAGGGAACCCAGACCAGACCACAGATCGGCCGTCACCTCCTCGTGCATAATCTGCATGTAGGACTGTGGGCAACAAACGCAGATGGAAGAGACCTTTGAGGCCACACCACCCGGTTTCTCCATTTTATGGCTGCTGTGGGGACTGAGGTCCAGAGAGAGGAAATGACCTGCCCAAAGCTCAGCGACAGCTAGACTATTCTCTTACCACAGGGACCACTGATAACTGAGATGGAAGCCCTCCTACTAAGTAAGCGTCAGTTCATCTTTAACTGCCATATGTGAGACATTCTTAAAATGTCCATCCTTTTCAAAAAAGTCACTAAGCAAAGTAAGTATTGCTTTAAAATAGTGACATCAACTGTGGAACCATGCTTTCCCTGTAACAGCTCCTGAGCAGGAAGAAAGGTGAAGTACCAGCCATCCAGCTAGTGGTCCGGGCAGATTTGGGAGATGCCGTAGGGCACTTGGTGGGCTCATGGCCGCTTGCTCTGCTGTGAGGCTCCAAGGTTCACCTGCAGCATCCAAACTCTCCTTTCGAAGCTCTTTGGAACTATCAACCATAATTTATTTACCCAAAGTTCCTATGAACTTACTTCGGCTTTCAGCCTACTTATCTTATAGTTGAACCAACTGAAAACACCATGTGACTCCTCTCGTCTACAGATCCCACAGACAGCTATCACCTTGTCCCTGATACCCACCCCTCCCCACCGCCACCCCTGAGACCAGAGCAGGGTGGTCTGCTCAGAACCCAGCTCCAGTTAAAGATTCAGCCACACAGAATCCATCCCGAGGCCTCAACTGGCCAGAGCTGCAGGTACCGTACTTTTTTTTTACCCACAAACCATACTTTGAAAGATTTGGCCTAGCAGATTTATTAATACCTGTTTCTCATTTTAAATAATCAAACTCATATCTGAGAAAGCCCATCAAAGCTTCCAAGCAACAGAAGATAACCAGTGTTGCTAAACTGACTTGCTAGCTCAACCCAGAAACAAAATGCAATTTAATTGGCTAGAGCTGCCTTATTCTGAATAAATGATCCCTACTCTGCTCTCCCACCCTCTCCCTCCACATACTATCATTTCCTTCTCAGAGTCATGGGGATCTGAAGACCCTGTGGACAAAGCTGGTACACAGAAAGAACTTAACATGCCGAAGCCACCATTCTGCCTCAAATTGAAAGCAGCCTGGAATCTGGCAGGGCCAAAGACTTGCTGGCTGTATTACCCTCCCGGCAGCAAATTTATCTATGATCTGAAATTACATCGAATTTCCAGGACTGGGGAAAACATTTCCCGTGAGCAAGAAGTTCATTTATTTGCAGGAGAAAATGAATGGCTCCCTCTGCTTTCCTGACCCTCCCACAGGCACCGGGAAACAACACGAAGTAGCCCTGAAGGGAGAGACCCAGAGCCCACCTCGCCCACCCCCGCCAACAGAGTTATGTAGGATGACCTAGAATCAGCCACGGGTGACAGGGGACATAAATTCTGCAACGCACAGTAATGGGTCTGAGGGTTCTTTAAGCTGAGGCACACCCTCTATTTAAACGTACTCCCTATAGAGAAATGACTTGTTTTTTTGTGTTATACTTTGGGGGAGGGGTGCTGAAATTGTGTGCTTGGAATAAATCATCAAATTTCTGCTTCATACAACTATATGTAAGCAAGTAATCACAGAAAAGGCCCAGATTAGTGGAGCTCACGGCGTTAGCGCAGGCTGTAAGAAGCCCCTCCCTCTCTTTCCACCCCTTGGAATTTATTTCATGAATTCTTTCCACTTTGTGTTTAAAAAAAAGAGAGAGAGGCACTTTAGACTCTAATGGCATCTTAGGATTGGAAGGAGCGATATTTGAGACCATCCCCAGAAAAAAAAAATCCTTTGGAAGACCCAATAAGAAAAATTCATTTTCCAATCAAAGCATATTAGCTCTAACATCTCCCAAACCACCAGAAAGCACTCAAAGTAGTAAGAACCGTAAGAGGAGGAAGGGGAAAAAAATGAGTCAGTGGGGATAATTTTCTTCTGCCGTCAGACAATCCCTGTTCTATAAAACAATCAGCCGAACTCAGACTAGTATCTCTCAAGCATCCATCTCTGCCACCACCTGGACTCAGTTGGGGGTGGGGGGAACCCTCATTCCAGTCTCCCCAGCTTTGCTCTATGCAAGTTAAGCCAAGGGACATCAGACTTTCACAGACGATAAGCTTCAGATACTCCACAAAGAGTAAGACATCCAAAATGCCCGTGTGCTAAGTGCTCAACACCACCCTCCTTCAAAGTCAAGTTAACACTTAATGCTGGCTATGTGCCAGGCACCATGCTGGGCACTTCACATGGATTAGCTCACTTAATCTATGAGTTACATTTCACAGATGAGAAAAACGAGAGTTGGGTAACTTGCCCAAGGTTACAGAGCTCTGCATGCAAAGCAGTGGCTTGAAATCTCGTGGTCTGACTCTAGATCCACCTCTTCTCTGTTGTCCTAGCCCACCACAGGGTATCAGGGTGCAAGTGAGCTTCAGTGACATCCCCAGACACACACACACACACACACACTCAGCCCTGGGTCTGGCTCCCAGCACCACCCAATCCCAGAGGAAGACTTCTCTTCCCTTGATTCATACTGGACCCCATAGAGGGGCTGTAATCAGGACACGAAAAACACTCCATGTTAGGGAGCCAAAATGAAATGCCACCATTTTGTTTGTGAAACAGCCTCCTGATTTCCTGAAATCCATGCAGCAACGCAGAGAATACAAAGAGGCTGTTCAAATCATTTTACATCTTCTGCTGAGTGTAAAGACTTCAACCTCAGAGGAGCTTTGAGACTTCACAGTGCTTTATAAAATCCAAGAACTAGAAAGGAAACCATTCTGTTTCCAGGCCACAGAGGATATTTCATTCAGAGGGAAAGAAACTCCTGACTTTTAAAATATTTTTAAGGATTGATCCTAAACAGAATGCTTTTCCTCTCAGATGTCATATACTGTTGGGTCCTTTTCACGTCTATAAATTGTCCCCAATGTGAGTTGAAAGTGATAACTTCACTCCATGTGCCAACTTCAAATGAACCAAGGCATAAAACAGCTCCAAAAGGACAATTCATTGAAAGGAAAGCCATAAGGCAATTTGCAAACATCACATGCACTTGTTTTATATGAATATCTATAGCCACATACAGTATCAAAATGAAACGATAAGGGAAGGAATTCACTGTACAGAAGACAAAACAATACCCTTTTTATTTTTAAAACTCTGGTGAAATAGGTTTCCATAGCACATCCCATTTAAAAAAAAAATTAACGTAAACCAACCTGCCCGTGGGTTAGTCACACTATAGAGACTTCATCATAGTGTGTACAGATGCCTAGAGTATTTACAAATGTTATCTGTTAGGTAGTAAAGTTCTGTTGCCACTTTTCCAGCACATATTCCACAGTAAGATAAAGGGGAGATACTGGTGTTCTTGTATAAAAAATCTTAACAAATGGATAAAGGCAATTTACCTGAGAGAAGATTTGTTCTTGAAATATTTTTCTTTTCACAATGGGAAATACAGAAATGGGATGTAGTTGTAAAAGAAGTGTAAGAATGTCTAAGTTTACATTTTTTCTTTTAAATTATTTAAGTACCATTAAGTTAAAATGTTTACATTCATTATAAAAAATGTTGTTAAATCTTATGCAAATGATTTAACACTGATTGCTGCAACGCAAATTGCACTTTTTTAAAAAATTATTGTATACATGGAAGAAAAATATCTTGTTTGCTACCCTGTTTACAAATTCCAACTGACTTTGGGTCAGTCACACGATATGAACTTTGAGAAACGTCAGTCACAGTGTATGTTACAGTCACGATGCAGTCTTGCAAACTGAGTGATCCTTTTGACAAGAGACTTCGTGAACCGACTCAGCCTCCAGAGGTGTGTACCAAGCCAATGGTCTTCTCCGTGAACACATGTGAACTCAGGGGTGGAAAAGGTATGAAGAAATTTTGGAATAACCGATACCGATCAGAAGAAGCACATGATTTGCGGCAATACACATAAAACCTGTGTTTAAAAAATCTCTCAATATTCCTCAGCAGGCAAAGCCCTGGTCCTAGTCCCGGGTTCTGGAAGTAGACATTGAATCCCCTGGCCAGCCCAGAAAAAGGCAGTCTGGAAGCGGCTGTGGCCATGGCAGGGGGCTGCTGCGGCCCTTCCCCAGAAGCAGTCCATCTTCTCCCTGGTCTTCAGGACGGGGCCTGGGTGATAAGGCAGAACAGCCTCTCAGGAGATACATCTCTTTCAAATAAAGGCACGAAAATCATGTGTCAGAGGAGAACGTCCCGTGGGCATCCCGGGCCCAGCCTGGACTGCTTGTCAACATCGGCTGTGGTGGTGCCGGCCATGGCGCGTCCTCCTGCTCCCACAGTGGGCTCAGGCCAGGGCCAGGGCGCACCAAGAATCCTGTCTCACCGACGATGTGACTTCGGCCGGTGAGGCCAGGCTGACGCCTATGTACAGCCCATCTTGACCTGAGTACTTGAGCTCGCTGCTGTTCTCGGGATTAGCGCTCTCCCCGGCACCAGACATCACCGAGGCGCCTGCCTGGTGGAAGAGGGGGACCGAGAGAAGGAGAAAGAGAAGGGGAGACACAGTTACTGATAAATGTGTCAAGCGGCTGGCTTCTGCTAGGTCAATGCTTGGAGACAAGTGAGATGCTGGTGCAGCCGGCAGAGCTGCTCACTGGGTGGAGCAGTGCCACTGACCTAACCCTGGTCAGTGCAGCTCTTTGAAACATCCCCCTGTTAACGTTATTAACTCGTGGCAGTAACCACCCAGCAGGATGCACAGCTGAACACAGGTAGGAAAGGGGAACTAGAGGGAGCCTGTTCATAAAAGTGCCGAACGCTCAGATCCTGACAGTGAAACAAACCACACCACGTAGGTAAACAGGCCTTAAGGATGCCCACACAATCTAATCATTTCAAAAGAGAAAATGCAGAGCCCTGTGCACACACACACAGCAGAACCACGAGGCTCAGCAATTCCATCACAGTCTAAGAAGGAAAGATACACAGTTCAGCAAGGCCTGATAAATGAAATTTTTGAGCACTGACTTCATGGAAAATTAACCCATGCATACACAGGCTTGAGTTCTTCCCAAGAGGAACAGGTCATGATTCAAGCAGACCACATGGCAAGGGAAATGCTAACATCCTATATCCGTCATGATTGTGGCAATTATTTCTCGAAGCAAAAGGTCACTTTCCTCATTTCATTCATTCCTTCCATCCAAACAAGAAAGGCCAAATAGAAAACATGATATAATTTAGCAGAATCAAACCAAAATAACTAAAATCATGTTTAGACTATGGTTTGAGAAAACAGTTGCATTTGACTTTTTAAAAAATCTGTCATAGTCACATACTTTTTAATCATGCTTTTTTTCCCCTTCTAAAAGCTCTGAAGTTCACCATTTCTTCCAAGCCTTCAGGGTTCCAGTCCATAAACTTTCAGATACTTGTTTTTTTGACACAGGTAGAACATCTTGTACTTTTCAAAGCATTCCTTTTTTACATACACAATCCCATTAAATCCTTAAAACATCCATCTATCTGGCCAAGCTGATGCTACAACCACTTCAGAGAAACACGGCACCAGACACGGAGCAAACTGAACGGAAGGTTCGCAGAGCCTCCACCGCTCCACTCAGGGGCCTGGAAGGAAATGTGGTCCTGACCTTTCCCGGAGAAGATCTGCTTTTCTGTCTAATCCTCACAATAACTGCATGGGGCTGGGAGGCAGGATTTCATGAGGTCTGACCATGGAACTTCCTATCTGCCATCCCAACTTCCTCTCAGCTGGACAGACCAACTCCAGCAGCGCCACAGGTAACCAACCCTCCCCTTTCCTAGCAAAAGTGAAGGTCTGTGCAAGTCCAGCAACAACTGTACCCTGCCCCCAAACTTTTTTTTAAATAACACAAACTTAAAGACTTAAACCGTGGGGCTTTGGGTGCCTAAAAAAAGCAAGTTTCACAAACTCATTGAGATGTCTAAAATTTAATAAAGATACTTGTGAAAATTCTGAAATAGATAAAATAATCCTGGTATAAACATGGGGATTACCTTTAGCCTAGAACTTCCACTGTAAGCATAGATCTAGATTTAACCCCCAGGGAAATAAACAAAAGGATGGATGATATTCAATCAAAAAAAGTCTTTGTTTTAGAAAAGAGCTACCACATAACCAGAAGCATGAGCTCCCTTATAAATGATTAATGTCAGACCCACTTTGTATGACCCACCTAGGCCCCCTAGAAGCACGTGCATTTATCTGACTACATCTGACTTCATCACAGCAAGTGCTCTTTTCTGAAATGGTGCACGTAAAGCCCTTGCAAAAGTGTCTGACGACAGGAGAGACTAGATCCATACACGCTACTATTAGAAGTGTGTTATCGTGGTGAAGAGGAAGGAGCGTGGACCTAACTGAATGTCCCCAGTGTCATCCTTCACCAGGTGAATTGCCACCATCACTGAGTGGGGGCAGCCCTAAGAACTTATCCAGAATTAAGCGGAAACCACCTCAATGATGACCTTCTCCTAATCGTTACTGACAGCTCTTCACAAAGAGAAAGCCAGGCGCTTCCACAGCCCTAAGGGCTCACTGACCCTTTTTCAGATCAGCCACATTAAAGAAATCTTACCACCTTGGACATTATTCTTGCACCTAAACTGCAGTCCCAAAAGCTACTGTTTAAGTACTTATTGTCTTCTTTGTTCAGACAAAAAAAAAATAGTCCAGCTATATGGCAGGCAAACCCCAAATTACACGAGAGATGACCTCCCGAAAAGACAGCAGCTCGTTTGAGGTTGCAACATCTGAGTCTGTCAGAAAAAAATACAATAAGCACTGGTGCCCAAGGTTTGAGAACCTTATTTTTAAGTGGTGTTATACTATTTAAGTATGAAATGCTACAACGTGTAGCATTTTTTTTGTGTCATCATAACTCAATAAAAAATACTTTAAATTTTATGTCACGATACACAATGATATCATCATGATGAGAGCTGATGAGATTTGATGGGACCGATGACCCCAGTCCTCCCATCCCTGGCTGGTGGGGCCATATTCTGGCACACGCCTTAGAAGGCAGTCAGCACAGCCATTAAGAACTTTATACCCTACTTAACTCGGTAATTTCACTTCTGGAAATGGGTTATAAGGAAAGAATTCACAGGGAGGGAAAGATATCCATTGCAGGGTTACTTATAATAATGGAAACCATGGAAATAATCTAATGTCTCATAAAATGGGGATGGTTTGGGAAAGCAAGGGACATCCGCTCAATGAACTATTATGCAATTATTAAAAATAATAAGATCATGCAGCAAAATGGAAAAAATCCTGTAGTGCAATGTTGAGTGAAAAACAGCAGGATATAAATTCTAACTAGGTCATAATTACAACTGACCCATGCACATGCAGAAGTATTTCAAGGGAACCCAGGTCGGGGGTGGGGGACAAGGGCACCATGTGAGAGGGCCCAACCTATCAGCCGTCTGTACTTTTCTTGTGAACTTTTTACTTGAACGGCACAGTGCAGTCTCACTCTGGGGAAGGGCAGAAGACATTAGCACCAGAAATGTGAGGAACTAGCCCTTGAGAGATGAGTCAGCCTGGACAGAGGCATAAAGTAGCATGAAAAATAGTAAATAATCAGAGCGGAGGGAGGATTGGAAGGGCCCCCACCCCCAACGCACCCCTGAAGTCAGCCCCTCGCCGTTACGTGAAGCCAGGCTCCAGGCACGAGAGAACACCAAGCACGGTACACAGAGGGGTTTAGCGTAGCTTGCGCTCTTGAAACTGGCACTGTAACTGCAGAAGTCTAGAGTGGGCACCACCACTCTCCTCAAGAAACCTGGCCTGTCACATTGTGCATCTTAAGTGCCTTTCCCTCACTGGGGATATTAAAGAGCTACCTCGTGAGAGTCAGTTTAATTTGGGGAGAAAAATCAGAGATGACTTATTATGCCCCGAGACCCAGTATACACACACGTACATATACAAAGACAAATTTAAATGTCAACTGATTAAGGTTTTCCCCATCTAGTTAAATCCCTGAAAGGATCAGATCGCAGACATCCCAACGCAGCCAGAGCAGGCAGGTCAGCAACCTAAATCACCATCAGCCTAATCCCCGGGACGTTCAAAAACAGAGGAGGGTGCTTCGAACGCCCACAGTTGAACCATCCTTCCTTCTTTCAGAGGCGGCTCGGGCAGGCGGAGGTCCTGGCTCTTTCCCGGATCAAAGTGCAATGTGAGGGTGGAGCAGAAATCTGTTCTGTGTTTCCACTCACAGCTATGGGCCTCCACCCTCCCCCAGACACTGAAAATGGAGGCACTTCCTGTTGAAAGAATGTGTTATCAGCACCAGACCCAGCCCGGGCTTAGTGCTGAGAGCAGGCCAGGGCAGGTTAGGTGGGAGATCCAGAGCAGTGGGCTGGACACTGGCCTCCTGAAGGAATAAATGACTTCAGGGACAATATGTTGCTGCAGACGTGGCCATGGAAAATATCCGCTAGCCTGGGAAGTAGCACAGCTCCTTTTTTTCCTGTAACTATAAGCCTTTGCTCATTTTTGGACCTGTATCTGGAAGCTCAAGGATTTCTGACAACGAACTCCTGGAGTCAGTGCCCAGCAGTGTCTGGCTCAGAGTGGGCTCACCGACAATATTAGTCCTTTTCTTTTCCTTTACTTATCATTTTCATTCATAGACAGGCCCAGAGACAGCCCCCCACGATACCCACACAGCAGCTCTGGAAAGGCAATCAATACATCCCAGCAAAGGAAAACCTTATAGGACACAGCCTTCCCAGAAGAATAAAGGTTCTCAGGCTTATGAATTATAAATTTCATTTTTGAAGAAGAAAACAAACAAAATAAAACAAAAGAGCCGGCTGGTGTGTGCTTGGTCCACCATGCTGTAATCTCTCAGTGCAGCCCCGATCTGGAGAAACAAAACGTGGCACCCCAGGCAGGTTGGGGGTGAGTGTGATCATTCCCAGAGCCCAGGACTTTGAAGATGATTACACTGTCTCCTTAGCTTGAATTCGGGCTGTCAGCTTCCATGGCCTCTGATCTGTCCTTCCTACACATCTCAGTAAGTTGTGGTTATGGCTTTTCCTTGTGTGACTGTGTGAGGGGAAGCCAGCCGTCCCTCTCTGCCAAAGCCCTCTTGTCTGCTTCCATAACCTCTAGGTTAGACCCTGACGGTGCCTGATAGCAGCCTTCCTTAAAAGTAAAATTAAAAACTGTGCATAAGTTCCAACAAAGGAGAAACACTTTCAGATAAACCCTAACTTCCACTCTAAAAACCACGGCCATTTCAGTTTGGATGGAGGTAACGGGACCAGACACAAAAGTGACCCAATGAGAGTTGAGGAGGTGACACAGGAAGATACACAAACACACAGAGGTTCTGTCTCCCCCAGGACATGTGAAAACCATCAATCACAACAAAACCCCGAAATTTCCCGTAACGGCTCAATAAAGCTCAAGAAGGGAGAGTCACGGTCACCTCAGCTGATGACCTATCTCAG